GGGGTTACTGAGGAGGGTGTGAGGCTGTGCCGATGGTGACTCTTCTGTACAAATAGGTGGTTGGTGAGAGCCCCCTCCCCCCCAAGTCTTGGTTCCCTGTCTCTTAGGGCCTGTGGTGGGGGCAGGTGAGGCCTCAAAGGTGAATTAGTGAGTAATATTCTGAGTCACTTAGACATGTGCAGAGGTGCCTAGATTCGTGTGAGGAACCTAGAAGCAGAATGCTGTCCACCTAAGATGCTTCCCTGTCCTCACAAAAGCAGGGTCTCTTTAAAGGAGCCAAATTTAGCGGCCAAATTTGCATTCTGTCCTTCATGACAAGATTAGCTAGTTGTTAAAAACTGGAGCTCACGCAGTCACCAGTTTTTCAGACTCTAGGCAGGGAAAGCGGGAGGAAAGCGCACCTGATAGTTTTCTAAGGGCGGGCCGGGGTCCGTTGCTGGCAGTGGGGTGATCATCTCTTCCTGTCCCCCTCGGCGACCGTAGGACAGTCAGCCCCGAGCTCAAGTCCTACGCCCTGGGAGTTCTTTTCCTCCTCCTCCGCTTGTTGGGTACGTATCTCTGTTCCTTCAGTGGCTGCATGCTGATGCCCAGGTGAGTGAAGATCCGCGAAATGGTCCCATTTCTGGACGTGGTCTTTTTTTTTCTTCTTCTATGACATGTAATTAGAGAAAATCAGAGCAACTTGATGTCCATTTTGCCCATGGTTTAGACCTAGCTATGGTGGAGTTCTCATTGCAACGGCTGTGTCGGGCCACCCTGGATTCTCCTCGGCGTAAGGAGGGACAAGTGATGGCACCAAAGGGAAGAAAATTTGATGGTGTCATGTGCACCCTCAACCACCCACGAGCATCTTGTGAAGGCTTCATTTGTGGGGCTGCCAGCTGGCGGGGAGAAGGGCATGTGCCCTGACAGTGCCTCACAAATGGAAACTTTGAAAGATGCAGATTTTTCCAGACTGATTTGGTTTATGCCCCTTGGGTTTCTGGGATGGGGCAATGTGACCTTCATGCTGTAGAACCTCCATTCCAGGGGTTGGGTTGGGGTGGAGAGAATGAAGTCCAACCGATGGGAAGAGCCCATGGTTCTCACAGGGTCCTGGGCCCCGCAGGGGCGAATCGGGACAGGCCAACCGGGAACCCGGCTCCCAGCCATGCCCGCCCTGTCCCTCCAGATCTCCCCGATGCTTTATGAACAGCTTTGTCGAGGCTGAGACCAGGATAGGATAACTTTTCTTTCTTGAATGATAGGGCAGTGGTCTTCACTAATGGACATCAAATGGTAAGTCAGTGTGGAAAGCGAAATAACCATGGCCTGTATTCTCACAGTAAAAATATTCATTTATTTGAAGTTTATAGGCATGGATAAGCACAAAAAATGAACTTCGGAAGTGTTTATGAAAAAAAAGTATATAAATGACTACAATCCAAATGTCCAAAAGCAGGGAATCAGTTAACTCCATTATAGTCTATAATCCCAGTAGAATTTGTTTCCCATTACAATTCTGGAAAGCACAATATCTATAGAATCAGAAATGGCACTTGATATGGTTGGGGGGGGGGGTCTATAATATACTATATACTTGAATGCTTTTAAAGCAAATAATTTCCAGTCACTTACCGTGATCATTCCTCCCAGGACAAGGCCTTAGAATCTCCACAACATTGTTGAATGATCCACACATGTTCGTAAACGTGGGGACATTTAAATGGCATTAGTCTTATTTCAAAGTCATGAAAAATAGAAATATTCTTAGGTGTGACAATACCCAGTTAAGACTAGTTCGGCAATAATTTAAACCATTTCGGCCTTTCTGGACAGTGTAGTGGCTTTTAGAAATAACCACAGAGAGTAATAATTACGCTGCTTTGAAGGTAGAATGTATATGAGTCATGATGTCCCCCCAGTGCAGTGCACGGATCGATAATGCATGTGTAGTACCTGGTAGCAAGCTGGGGACACTTACTTCTGAAAATGCTTAAAGTATTCCACTTACAAGTTCATTCGCAGCTGCATGGGCCATATTCGGGTAAAGGGGCATCGCCTGCTCTTTGCCACCCGTGTGGAAGCGGACCAGAGACGATGTTGGGAGTCGCCCAAGTGTGGAGTTGAAGTACAGATCTCAGTATATCTGGACAGGTGCAGGGACTCAAAATAGAAGGTGAAAATAGTTAATATGACAAGAGCAACAGCAAGGCATCTCTGACAATTTCTTTAAAATTTTAATCTATGTGAAGACAGGCCTAAAACTCACAGTGTACATTTTGTATAATTGTTAAGACCATTGTATACTGCCTTAAAAACATTTGTTTTCCGTATTTGTCAGTAATCACAAAGAGCAGGCATTCATTCTAGAGAGTAGTGCCATTCAATTTCTATACCTATAACCACCACCAGGAGAGGAGGCCTCTTCCCGCAGCGCCGCTGTGGGAGCCAGGGCAGACTGGAGGGGACTGGAGGGGACTGGAGTTAGTGTTTGCTGATACTGAGGCCTCCTCAGACTTCCCTAGGCTAGAGTTTGGAATATTAGCCTTCGACCCTTTAATCTGGGTGGACCCAAGGCACACTAGACTAGACTAGAGAATGATGTGGCCGTACTTTTCTTCCAGATCCATGGAATGGTGCAGCTTTTCCCCCCTGTCCCCTATATGTCACCTCATTTCCCTGCTCTTATTGATGACCAGTTGAATCACACACCTGTACTCTCCAAACCCCACTGGGCAGAAATACTTAGTATATTTTATTTTCACAACCCTAAGGTTAGGGCAGACACCGACCTGTGATTTTCTTGGTTGTGATATAACACCTCAGGTTATTTTGAATGCTCCCAGGGCCTTTGAGCTTGGGCATCACACCAGTGACATCGACACAGAGGAACTCAGTGTTGTAAATTAAGGGTGGTAAACGGCTTTCCTATCATGTGCCTTTCTGAACGAGCAGTTTTAGTTCCCCAAAATGGTGTATTGTAAGGAGTTTACAAGTTTCCAGCTCAGAATTAAAAGGATTCTGAGCCGGAGGTGTCATCCAGGGGCAGGGAAGAGGCAATGTGTGTGCACGTACACATATATGACCGATGTATGTATGCATTGCAGACACACGCACAAGGTGTGGTGTCCTCCTATTCAACTTCTGCTCCTTTATGATTCTAACTTGATTCACTGAGAGGCGCACACACCCCCTAAGAGCCCCCCACAAGAACTACACACAGAGCCAATGCCTCTTTGCCTTTCCCTTTGCAAGGATGCACGTGTAACAAGAATGTCTCCCTTCCGGAAGACCCACCGCCATCTGAAAGGACTGGTATTATTAGTCCTTTGGTGCAGATGGGGAAACTAAGGCACAGACGGCTTAAGCAACTTGCCCAGGCCTGTGCAGTAGGTAGAGGGCAGAGGTGGGACTGAAACCAGGTAGTTCGTCACCCAACAGGGTCCTTTCACCAATATGCCATAGAGCCACCACCTGGGATGCGAGTCAGTCTCTACGTCACTCCAGCTGTGGGAGCCAGATGTTAAGGGTTGTCTTCCCTCTCACAGGCTTCATCCCCCCTCCTCTCATCTTCGGGGCCGGCATCGACTCCACCTGCCTGTTCTGGAGCACGTTCTGCGGGGAGCGGGGCGCCTGCGTCCTCTACGACAACGTGGTCTACAGGTACCTCTATGTGAGCATCGCCATCGCCCTCAAGTCCTCCGCCTTCATCCTTTACACCACCACGTGGCAGTGCCTGCGGAAAAACTATAAGCGCTACATCAAAAACCACGAGGGCGGGCTGAGCACCAGTGAGTTCTTTGCCTCTACTCTGACCCTAGACAATCTGGGGAGGGACCCTGTGCCCACAAACCAGACCCACAGGACAAAGTTTATCTATAACCTTGAAGATCATGAGTGGTGTGAAAACATGGAGTCCGTTTTATAGTGACTGAAGGAGGGTTGAACTCTGTATAGCAATCAAAGGTCATTTTTCCTACAGAAAGAAAAGATTTCCAAAAAAACAACTCAGTGCACACACACGCACACACGCGCGCGCACACACACGACCTTTATCGTTTCTCCACATCAGAGCCAGATGGGAGTGAGAATGAGGAGAGCTTGGGGCCTTGTGCCCGATGCGACACCTACCTGCCGGCTCAGAGCCCGCTCTTTGAAGCCACCCCGTGGTGTTTCAGGATGCTGAGAGCTGCAAGCAACAGGCACTGCCCCATTCGGGGAGCCCTGGTGGCCAGCTTGGAGGACGGACACTTCTGAGCATACACACAGCATACAAAACAAAAGAATATTTTTAAAGAAAGTCTACTAAAAAAAAAAACACACGTTGACAACATTGCCAGGATAAGCACTAGTGACACCCCCTGTGCCACCCCCTCCTCCCGTGGGGGGGGGGAGGCATGCAAGCCGGAGGAGTGAAGGCCACTCCTCCCCCTAACTTTCGCAATATGGGTCACTGTGTAGACGACTCACCCAGTCTGCATGTGGTTCCAGGCCCCCCGAGTTCTCTCAGCGATGCTAACGGGTGATCCATGCTGGAGTCTGTAATTGGCACCTCTCACCAGCTCCATTTCCATGTTCAAGACTGAGGGCCCGAGGGGGAGCCGGTGCGGGGGCCAGCACCTCCCCGTGGTGGGCGCCCACCTCCCCCCGCCCCGCAGAGTGACCTCAGGAAGCAGCGGGCCTCACCCGGCTATGACCGACTTCACTCAGAGCCGGTGAAACCCAGCAGTCCAAGTCATTTGCTTACATTTGCCAAACCTTTTGCCATTTTTTAAAAATGCCATGCCTATGAACTTCAAACTGTTGTATGTATAATCCTCTAACACTATTTTTAACTCCTTCTGAAGTCTGTGTTAACCCTTCAGTGACTAACACAGTTCTCTAGGCCGAATTTACTATGCTGGTTGCTTTTACTTTCTTCCTTTTTTAATGCACCAAAAATATAATGTGATTCAAGGGATGAAATTAATCTTTTGTAATTTTTTTCATCATCATATCCTCAGCCATTCTGCAGAAACAAGAATATACAATGTTACGGGGAGAGAAAATGCTTGGCAAGGAGCTTGCCTTTAAAGGAACCACGTTTGGGACAAAGGGAGGGTGACGTGCTGAAGTGCCAATCGGCCTTCTCACTTTCTTCCCGTGATTCGGGGATCACTGTCACGGGAGGGCCTTTTGTATATTTGCGCCCCATGTTCCACGAGGGGCTCTTTTGAGCCTGTGGAGATGCTCTGGGCTGTGGGTTGTGTCCAGGTGCAGGGCTCCTGGGAGAGGACACACAGGATGGCTCTCTAGTGGCACCTGCTAGGCAGCCTGTAGTGTCGGATCACGAGTAAACCCTCAGGCTCCTGGAAGCTACTGCACGTCCAGTGCTTCCCCCAGTGTCAGGTTTTCAGGGTCAATCTTGAACTAAGAGGCCTGTGTGTGTGTGAAAAGTGACCGAACCTCACGCAGCTAGAGCAAACCTGTCATTGTGTGGGGAACAATCATGGGACAACCTCTTGCAGCCAGGAGACTCGGCCTTACACGGCCATTTCCAGAGCTGTCGGGACAGGACTGATGTGAGTGCACACACAGACACACATGCACGCACATGCACACCCGGCCCAGTTCACTTACCTGTCGTGGTTCCTCAGTGACCTTTGTCCAGGCTAACCATGACCCTGCGAAGGACTTCGAGCGTTGTTTGGTTGGTTTGCTTTTCCGCCTCAGGTACATAGTTGCAGTCACCCAGAAGGCAAGAAAAAAGAATTAAAGAATCCGAGGGAGGAAAGGGTGTTGTGCCAAATTTTTAACAAGTACCGTAAAAGGGGTGGTTTAAGTGACAGCCCCAAATAGACACAACGCCACCAAGGAAGAAAGGCGAAGGGGAAGCTTGTGTGGTGGCCAGTGGCCACCGGGATCCACTGCCTGGGACCGGATGCTTCCAAAATGCTCTTTCCCCTATAGAGTCGGTCTGTCCTTGTTCACGACAATGGGACATTGGTCAGCATGTTAACTAGTGAGAAGTCGGGTTGTTCTCCAGCCAGTTCATAAAATATAGGGTGTCCCCCCAAAATGTACACACACACTTTATTAAAATACGTTTCATTTTCAAAGTTGAGCTGTTAGTGTGTATTCGTTTTGGGGGGACACCCTAAGGCTTTGATATCTCTGTCCAGGCGGAGAGGTTTGGAGAAGGAATTGCCAACAGGTCACTGCCCCCCGGTGTTACTGCGCAGCTTCCACACTCAGATCACACACGGGAGCCCCGTGACCCAGTGTTTCATGGACCTATTGGCTTTTTTTTTTTTTTTTAAGTTTTTGAAAACTCCTTGCTTTTTGGATTTTTTCCTAAGATTTTAGGATAAACAAAAATGAGATATTAGGATGGCAAAGGAAAACAACTCCAGGGCTCAGGATTATCAACCATTGGAGAGAAATGTAAAGGTCCCTCTGGCAAGAAGGCTCTGCACTGTGTCACCTTTGAAATTTTTAACTCCGCACATATGCAGAACAGAAAACCTAGCGTATTTGTAGTTTCTTTTTGTGTTACAAAAAACCATTGTACATACACTGCCAGACGCAGCCCTGGGTTATTTGTTTGGTTTTAAGTGGTGTTTTGAATGAAAAGATTTCCTGGTAAGATCTCCATAGTCTTACAGAAAACAGAAACCTGAGGGACAGAATCAGCCTAGAAAGTGAACGGTAAGGTCCCGTCTCTGCTGCTACAAACTCCAACATCTTAGTTGAACAAGCCCAGGGATGGATGAGAACTCTCGTTGCTGCAACTTTTCTGTAGCCCAAGAAGTTTTTTTTACTAATATATTAGTCCAAATTCCCTCATGGGAAGTACACATTTTCTAAGAGTGTCTCTCTCTCGGGGGTACGTGGTTTGCTGTCTTCCTTCCTCAGGGAAACGGGCAGCTTTGCTCCCTGCTCAGTGCCCCACAGAGGACGGGTGGGACATTCCGAGACACTCTGGGGACACTGTCACTCCAGGAGGCCACAGCATGCGGGATTCCCTCACAGCTAACAAAGGCACGAGAGGCCTCCCCTCACGGCCCCTAAGGAGCCTGCCAGTGGGTAACATGCCAGCTGATCAGGGAAAAGCGTGAGTTTCTAAGGAGCCTTTGACTGACCTCCTACCATCTGCTGAGCAGGAAGGAAGGAGTGTGCTCTCCCGATAAAAATCGCCTCTCTCGTCCCCGTGCAGAAACCTCCAGAGGTTTCTGCGGGTTGGTCGGTGGCATTCCACACAGTCACATCCCTGGTTCCACCTCCCTGGTTTCAGTCAAGACCTAGAGCTGCCCCTCACTCAAGCACTCAGATTGCCCAGCCCTCCTGCTGCAGAGCTCACAGGCCTGGGGGACCCAGCGACATGGGGACCTTCTCAGGGAAGAGGCCCTGCTGTGCTTGCTGACACGCACCCTTCACAGTCCAGAGCAGGCCCAGCTGGAGAACACAGCCCTCGGCTCGGCTCCCGTGAGCCTGTGAGGCTGCTGCTCTGGCTCAGGCCCTGCGAGCGTGGTTTCGTCACTGGGACCTGTGTGCTGAGCGTGCTTGGGGGCTCTAGCAGCCGAGGTCGTGTGTGGGAAGTGTCCTTTAGCCAGGTGACCATCACCTCTGACATTGCTGACCCCAGAATCTAGCTCAGGTACCCTATTTCCCAGGAAGGAGGTAAGTAGCGCACTCTTGTCGGGGTTATCACCTTTCGTAGGTAGTGGAAATGGGTGTGGGAGGGAAAGTGTAGAAACCAGAAAAAGAATGAATACAGATTCTGAAAAGTATTTCACATCCCCCACACTTCCTTCCCACCAGCACAGAACATCAGCACTATAAAGCTAATAGGTATATGCCAGGTGGAGTAATTGGTAAACACTAATAAATACTAATAATAGTCACTAACATTTATCAAGCACTTTCTGTGAATCAGCTCATTACCTGTATTAGCTCATTTAGTCTCAACAGTAGCCCCATGACTTACAAATTTCAGTTTGTAAGAGAGGAACACGAGGCTGGCAAAGCTTCCAGAATTGGCCAGAGCTCACAAAGCAGAGTGGGCATTCCAACCCAGATCTGTGAACCCCAAGCCCGCCTTCTTAGCCTCGTGGGTACTCGCTCCCTGTTGGGCACCGCGGAGGGACCTCTCCCCGCCTGTAGGGACTGACGGACCAGGAAAACTCTGGCTCCGATGGGCTGTGGGGCCCCACACACCCTCCCAGGCCCCCAATCAGGACCCAGCGACCACTGTATTCTGGGGACGGCCTGCCTTCCTGTGTTATTCCTGGTCTTGCCCAGTGGTCAGTGGTCCATTTATAGGGGGTGTCCTACCAGAAGGAGACAGGTAAGAGGAAATGCGAGATTTCTCCACCCGGGTGCGTCCTGAAGCATACTTCCAAAGCACTGCGGGGCAGGGAGCCACTCAGCTCCAGAGCACAGGCCCCAGACCCCTCCTGCCTGGCGTCCCTGGGGGTCACAGCGTGGACCTCAGCACTCGGCTCTGGGCCGGGGCCCTCAGACACAGGTCTTACTCTATCAGCAGATGCTGGGCTTTTCGAAACAGTTTCTAGACATTTCTGTTTTTGCATTAATGATTCAGGCCAACAATCAGTTTATTACCTTATGGAAAAAATATTCACAGTTTATGCTAAAGTTATCATGCTCTTTTACTATGAGCAAATGGAACAACACAGTAAATCTTCCGGAGGTTTAACTTTCCATCCCATTACATTCTCCCAAGTTATATTTTTTTTAAATTCATGCTGACCTAATAGAATGGCGCGCTCGTGAAGATCCATCTGTCAACACGGCCTGATTTTAGAACCTAAGGTCCTAAAATGAATTGGGAGTGTGTAATGTAGGAACTTTCAGTACAAGAGAAACCCGTCTAGCACATAAATTGAACTCTAGTCCAGCACCTGAAGGAGGGAAGGGGCTGGGAACTCGGGTCATTAACAGCCTGCTGCCCAGGTGCCAGAGGTAATGCTTCCAGCAGCTTCCTCACACGGGCCCTAAGGTAGGTATCATTTTTTTCCCACTTTACAGACCAGAAAATTAAGGCTCAGTAAACGCAAGCTTCTCATGGTCAAGTAGCTCATTAGAAAGTCCCCAAGACCCAATGCCAGGTCTGTCTGACTCCTGAACCCGCGCTCTTTCTGCTCCATCACATGGGACACAGCCGACTTCTTAGGCGCTTCGATGAGGCGAATGGGGCGTCTATTGCCAGGGAAACCCCCACAGAAGTCTAGAGTTTCCTAGACAAATGAACCAGAGGTGGGGGAGAAAACCTCTGCAAACTTGCCTACGGGCACAGGAATCTCAGCTCAGAACAACTCTTTTCTGACTTTAGTAATTAAGCGTTAGAAACATTTAAAACCACTCCTTCCACCTTGGCCAGATCAGCCACTGGGTAACCCCCTGTCTCACTCACTGTGTGCCCAAGAACAATCCCCCACTCCCTGCCCCCAAGACTTCTGGCAGAGCCCCCACACTATAAAAACCTGAAGTTGTGAGCTTGAGGGGCTGCTTATTAGGCCAGATCTCAGCTGCCACGCCTTGAGGAGAGCGGTGGCATTTCCACACTGTCACCTAGCACACCGCCGGGTCATAGTCAGAGGACAAGCGCATGCGGAGGGCCTTCTATGGCCCATGGCGCCTGTCACTAAACAGGAAAGCTGCCCATCACAGCCAGATTGTCCCAGGGAGGAGCTGGGCTTTTAATACCTTGTAAGTGAAGCCACAGCGTCCATCTGGGAAGTGGCGTGAGGAGGTTTCCTCTCAGCCTGCAGTGAGCATCTGTGGCCAAATGGACGACACGCTGGTCCACGAGGCTGGGGAGATGCCGGCATCGTCTCTGGCCCTCAGCCACCTTTTCAGTGGAGGTGGCGCTGACACCCAGACCCCACCACTGGTGATGGATGTAAGCTGAGGCGCTAACCACTGGGGTACATCTCCCCCATGCCATGGCAGAAGCATCCATGTGAGCGTGGGCACAGGCATGTAGGTAAACATGCCTCAGGAAGGTCTCCGGGCTTGGAACCCACTTCCCTGGGGTTACATCCAGCGACCCCAGCACTTCAGTGGCCTGACGCCCTGTTCTTGCCCACCCCCTGGAAAGCCATGGGGCTGTTTAAGCCTAAGAAAGGCAGGAAAACAGGAAAAGACCGACCTCTCTTCCTCTTGGCTCTTCCCTCCTCCCCTTTAGGCACAGAGTACCAGGACATTGAGGCTGAGAAAACCTGCCCTGAGTCACACTCACCTTCAGAAGACTCCTTTGTGAGAAGCTGAGGGCCGGGCCCTGGGCCTCCTGCAGCAACAGCCCATCGCCACCATGCCACAGACCAGACCGAGAAGCCAGGGTCCCCGAGGGGGTTGCCCGGCCAGAGCGTGGGCCCCGAGTGGCTGTGAGAGGCTGTTTCCCTGGGTCCCTAATGAGCACTGGTGACCTGGTCCACAAGCTCCCTTTGCCCATCCCTCTGGCTCGGGCGGGGATGACCTGCTGACAAGCTTTAGCAAACCCCCCTCCAGAGCGCTTCCCCGATCGAGGCACCCAGCAGCTCTTCCGAAGCCCACCAAGGCCGGGTTTCACCAGGAGGGGTCAAAGGTCGCCCTGTTTCACAGCCTGGAGGGGGCGCGCATACTCAATAGATCCTGAGTATGCTATTCTGTATTTTTGCAGCTTCTATTTTCTAGATGAGCAGTTTAGAGATACGTGATGTAAAGTACATACTGTACGATTGCTGAAAATTATATTAAAAGCACTATTTTAATTCTTCCTCTGTCTCGTGATGTAATCGCTCTTACCTTTCTCTCTGTGTCGTTGGCTAGAACGATCCCAAAAGACTCTTCAGGAGTGTTCCTGGCCTTTGCATTGTTCAGAAGAGCACGGGCTCTGGAGTCAAAACAGACCGGGTTCAAATCCTCGCCCCAGCCCACGCTGCTGGCGTGGTGGCGAGCAAGCGCTCCTACTGCTCTGAGCGCCCGTTTCACCCTCTGTAAAGTGGGACACCGACACCTGCTTATACGGGTGTGACACGCTGCCATCTGGTTTTCCTTTCTGACTCTCCCCCCATCTGTAGACCCTGGGAGCACAGGGAACGACCTTAACTCATGCTGTGCCCACAGCGCGATGCACGACATCTGGTGCATTGCTCGGTATACAACTGAATGAATGAATGAATGAGTGAATGAATGATGGACGAATAGCTTCCGACCCATCAGCCTGGGGGGCTTTGGCTTCAGTCTCGCTCCTCAGAGGCAACAGCAGTATTTACCTCCCGGCCTCAGGTCCACAGACCCCCCCCCCCGAGCCTCGCCCTGTCACCTTCCCAGTTCTTGCCAGGCCCCTTCCTAATTGCCCAGCTTCCCCAGGTCCTAGTCCACTGGCCGGACTCCCACCTCATGGGGACAAGTTGCTCAGGTTGACGCCTTACACCTACGTGCCTCTTAGAGTCCTCACTACGTTCCCTACTTGGCTAGACAGCCAGGAACTCGTGGTTGGACTCTGTCTTCTGGGCTTAAGACCCAGGATGGCCCCCTGCTTTTGAGAGACAGTCCCCACATCTGAACCACATGCCTCACGGTCCCTCAGCCCGGATCCTGCCTCTCCAGCCCGGCTTGTCCAGCTACTGTCACTGGGACACCACACCCACCTCAGCCCTGCACTCTCTCCCCTCTGGGGTGGGTGGTGTCAGGAGAACTGTGACCTTGGTAACCTGAGTTACCTCTTCTAAAGCCCAATCGCCCGCCCACTGGTATTCAAGGACTTTTTTTTGAGCCTGGCCCTGTTATTTATGTGATTGTTTTTCCACAAAGCAATATGATTTATTCTCTCCTGCCTAAAAATCCCAAGAAAATGCCATTTCAACATGCTCTGTCCTAATGTGAAAAGATGCTGAAGTGGCAAGAAACATTGGTGGCTCCTCACGGGAGCTGGACTTCATCTGCACCCGAAATTCAGGGAGAGGTGGAAGGAGGAAGCAGGGAAGGGCTACTGTGGAAGGCATCTGGGCTTTTGTTCCAAAATTCCCCATTTCTTTTTCACCTACAGTCTAGTTTCTTTTCTCCTGCAAACTTTTCCCTCCCGAAGGTAGGTAGTTTATCAAAAGCTTACTCTTGCACCATTTTATCTTAGCCTCACAAAGATGTACGATTTCTTATTCGGAGCCAACAGATTCACCCGTCAGTATTGAACTGGGTCCATGAGGGCTGTTCGCGCAGGTGGTTCAGCCAGCGCGGGTCAAACCCCAGACGCCCGTGGGGCTCGAGAAGTAACACGTGTTTCATTGAGAAGCCGCATCCTAGGCCACATACACACACCAGCTTCTGTGGACCCCTATTTGCTGCCACAGTGCTCTCTGAACACCCTTTTTCCTGCTGGGTAGCTTGATGACTTCTCGGTCCCTTCAGTTGTGAGTCTGTTTTCCTTAACTTTGGGGCAGAAAACCAGCCACTGACTCTCTTCAAGAACATCCCTCAACCCCGTTGTCACCCGTGGAGGCAGGCCAGCCACCAGGTGGCAGGGAGGACAGGTCACGCCCCCTCAAGAGTGGTCTCCCAGCTTTTCATCAACAACAGCCACCTGGTGCCTGAGCCCTTAGCACCTTCTAGACTTCAGATCATTAACTTCTTGACTATCGATCCGGGGCTGGTGTGGAGCCCTGGCCCCTAGGAGTCCCTGTGGGGAGATGGGGGGAGTCCCCGTTCACAACCAGTTCACAGTCTGAGGGAGGAAAGGCGGCCTCCGTGCAGTGAAAAGACCGGCGATGCCTCCACCCTCAGGCACACACACTGCAAACAGGCTGGACAGTGACGGGAATGCAGGGAACAGAGAATCCCTGAGGCCCCAGCAGCCAGATGGAGCTTTCTCAAGGAGGCAGGCCATGCAAAGACGGCAAGGAAGCCCCTCCATTGGGCTCAGGTAGGAGGCTCTGCCCTGGCATTGGCATGGGCAGGAGGAAGGCAGTGGCTGCCACCGTAAGATCTCCAGGAGGAGACAGGAGGACAGGGATAACCGTGCCCCAAGCACTGGGCTGAACTGTCTCCTCGTGTCACCTCGGAAGCAGCCCTGGAAACAGGAGTCCCTACCTGCCCGCCTCAAAGGCCAGCTTTCCACATCAGCAGGGTCCAGGTAACCACGCCCACCCCTGGGGACAGTCAGGCCTCAGGGGGGTCCTTCTACAAGGCACCTAGCACTATACCCGACACCTAGAAAGCGTCCCAGAAACAGGAGACACTCGAAGGCTCGGGAAGCACATTCCCTCAGTGCCAGGTCGTCGGAGGGAGGATTCCATTTCCAACGGAGCTGACTTGCGTGGGTAAATAATTATAAGCGCAATTATCTCCCCGAGGACAATGATTTGCCATCACCATTCCCACCCCCTGAAATTACATTCGCAGGCAGCAGAGCCTCCCATTGGCAGATAAAGATAATTAAATTGGAAAAATGGGGTCCACTGGCTGATTGGATTAATAGAAGGAATTTATTCCCCAGAGCTGTTTCAGAAACGCGTCTCCAAGCTGAATCCTTTTTTTTTTTTAAAGCTTTTACTCTGAATTCAAATTATATATTAATTCCTTGCCAGAAATCATGCATCCAAGCCTCACAAACACCATGTGCCTCTCTCTGAGAAGCAACAACTCCTCTGGTCCTATGAAACCCACAGACACTGGCCTCTTGATGTCTGTAACAGCGGATCTCCAAAGACAGAGCACTTTCTGGTCAAGTCAACTCAGCAAATGTCTCAACTGAGTAATATGTTCACTGGTTGCAGAATTTTGTTTCAAATAGGGACAAAGGATGTGATATAATATGGTCACTTCACAAGTTTCATTTTCTGTCCTCAAACTCTCCACAATATCAACTGATCATCTGCAGATTTGGCTCCAAATTGCTTTAAAAATTAAGTTTACAAACTGTGTAATTCTCATGAATTCTGCAACAAACTAGTAATGATTAGTGGGGTCCAAATATGTGGACCCTGAGGGAGAAAGGATTTTTTCCCCATTTTGGAGGATGGCCAATACTCTAATTGTTTTTCACTATGGGCAAGGTCTAAGTTTTCATTTCCAAATCTGTCTGCCGTTTAGCCCTCCCGAAGCCTCGGGGGAGCTGGTGTCTGTTGGTTACATGCATTTACATGCAGCTCTTCACTCGTGTGTTTGGGTGGTGTCTACACTGGCGTACTTCTTAGTTGCCTGAAATACTTCTGTGAGGTAGAGATAAGCAAGCATAAAACTTTCCTTTACCAATGGAAACATCCCAAGGCCAAAAGGGATCTTTCCCAGGACTGGCTACTTCACTCCTGTCACCAAGGAAAACAGAACCATCTGGTCACTGAGTTCCAGGATGGTCTTACAATCTTAGTTATGGGTGTTCACCTGCGAACATGCCAAAGCCATCGAATTGTGTGCTTTAAACGGATGAACTGTGATGTGTGGATTAAAGTCATTTTTAAAATTACGGAATACAACCTCCCTAAGTATTTACTAAATTTAAAATTATACATACATGCACACTAACACAGCATTGCATTTACACATGAGATACATTCTTTTTCTAGGCTGAGTTGAAAAAGAAAGTTTTGATATATCTGGGCAGCTGAGGCACAGAAAGGCTCTGGACCCACCTGCTCAGAGCCCTTCTCTTCCCAGCACAGCATGCAGATTCCGGGGCCACTTGGAGGGCATGAGAGGCCCGGGAGTGCTGCCACTTGGGGGCCTACCATATATTGAAAAAGAAATGCCAAAGCAGGGCTGAAATATCAAGAGCTACTTTCACTGTTTACATTTGAAAAATTAAGGCTTTGGACATAAAAAAACACACAACAGACTGCAATATAATTGTGCTATTCACAAGATAGAGCTTTTCTAGAACAAAATGAGCTCCCAGTGCAGGGGGCAGCGGACCAGTGATGGGTGATCACTGGAAGGTTGCGTGTGAACCGTTCACCGCAGCAGCCTGGCTGGGCGTCGGTGGCGGGGGCCCTGGGGAGTGACAGCCCCGCTCGCGGGCCCCCGCAGCACGTCCAGGGGAGGCCTGTGCTTCAGGGCAGACGTGAGCCGGAGCGTGGGGAGGGGGAGGCCTGCGGAGCCCCCTCGTGGCCTGGAGGCCCTGCGAGATCGCTGATCTTTCACCAACCACAGTAACTGGGCGGAGAGGAGCCGTGGAGGGAGGCTGTGGGACGAGCTCCCAGTTCAACTGGGAGCAGGGTTTTCAAACCTCCTGGAGGCGAGACAACTCATTCATTCATAGCTGCCAGGATCTTTCCTGTCAAAGGTTGATATTGAAAAATAAAAATAAAATAAAAAAATACAAAAATAAAAAGCCTCCCTCTCTTCTTACCAACAACACAATAGCAGCGAAGAAAGAAAACTGTGATAGTCCCTCCTTTATTTGCCCCCGACATTTCCAAAGCCACAGGGCCCTGGGAAAAGGCAGGGTCGGCCTCCCTCGGGTCTCAGGCCTTGGAAATCGGGTCCCTACTCCATCGGGAGCTGCCCGCTGGTCGCCATGGCAACAGAACAGCTGCCACCAGCTCTGCTCCAGCGGTCACCGGCCTCGGCCTCCTCCAGGGTGCTGCGGGTCTGCGCCGAGGGACGCGGCTCCCTCCGAAGGCAGGGTTAGGGCGACACGGGAGGTTAAATCCGAGCAAAGTGCGGTCCTGAGAGAGCACACTCGGGTGTGCGCGGGCCATTAACTCGGCCCATCTTTGGATTCATGTCTGTGGGTCTCAAATCCTACTGCCCGGGGTTGCGGGTTCGATCCCCGGTAGG